CAATTACGATTGCGTCACCCGGCACTGAGACGTCGGAGGCGTGGACTCACTATTAGAATTGATAGAGGCATAAATAAAAATTTGGGTCGCTCTAGGCTGAGGCTACCGTTTATAAAAGTCAGTTGGTAATTTGCTCCCGCCTACCAATGTTCCTCTCTTTTGGTAGCTTCGTTCTTATAACCTAACTAGCTGTTCAACGCGAGTTCGCCCGCGTGTTTTTTGGGGTTTTAATTATTTTGCACGGAACCCTAATTCTTCTGAAACAAAAGTAGCCTAAGTTACTCCTTGTGACATCAGATATCTTCCAGTGAAAATCCCGTCAAAATCAGTCCAGCTGTTTCGGAAATTAGCCGGATCAAACAGACAGACAGACAAAAACTTTAAAAAATGTATTTTTGTTATTAGTACCGTATATACTTTCATATGTATTTAGTAAAAAGCTGTAATTTTGACATTACAAACAGACACTTCAATTTTATTTATTTGTATAGATAACCTGTAAAATAAAACTAAAGCTTTGGTAAGTTAAAGGAGAACTATTGAGGTCATTCTAACTATCATCACAGACACATTACATTATATTAGAAATTCCCGTGACTGGTCCAGATTGGATATGTTTATTTTATAACTAGCTTTCTCCCGCGGCTTAGTCTGCATAGAAAACTTGAAGATAATGATTTCCTATATTTCACATTGAATAAAACAATTTTTACGGATTTTATCGCGTTTCATTTATTTATTTTTACTTATTTTTAATTCCCAACGTTTCGGGTGCTTTACAACATTCATGGTCATGGGGGGACTGAGATGTTTGACGTGTAGATATCATAGTTGGCCCCACTACCTTTTGGTTTTGAATATTAATGTTTGGTCCAATCTACTCAGAACGAGCTTACAGTATCTTAGCTTACAGTAATCTTGAAGTCTTGCGGTGGTATGCTTGCTTGTTCTATTTTATTATTTTTTTTTGTCCTTTTTGACAAACATAAAGGTCTATTAAACCCGCTTGAAAGAACATATAGCTTAACCTGTAGTTTAATTACATCGAAAAATCTCTTTATACTGTACACTGTATACTAACCAGCTTGTGGGGTATAGATATAGACTGTAAATGTACTAAAAAATATATTAGAAATAGTTTTAACAACAAATACGGTTAAAAATATTATTTACCTTTTAAGAAAACTTACAAATCGACTTCAATACTAATAAAATTAAATAAATTTCACATTATAGCTTCTGTAGTCGGTGCTAAGAGAGTGTATCGAAGAGTTGAAGCCCCCAAAGTTAAGTTGTTTTACTCTTCAGAGTATACATATATATCACAAGTTCAAGGTCATTTTATATTTTTCCACCATTTCGGATAAAATTTTTCCTCAAATTTATATGGTGGTCTCATACTTTTTGATTTCATAAAATATATCATTTAAATCGGCTCATCCGTTTCTTAAAAATCGGTGAATTTACATAAAAAATAAACAACTACCTAACATTATGTTTACGTCGCAGTATCCAAGTAGTTTAATTTTTAGTGATGTAACTCACTTAACTGCGAGATACACGATACAATGTTATAAAGAGGTCACTTGATTATAACACTTGTAATCATTTACGGGACCTTGAAGACCGACTATTCTTAATTTTTTTTTAGTTTACCTACTACTTTAAAGTTTATGTAATTTTTTTTTTCTATTATTACCAGAATCAGTCAATTTTTTTTTCTATTATTAACAGTGGTAGAGCCAGGCGGCAGCTTTTGCTGTCGCACGGATGGGCCGGCTCGAACCGGGGTGGTACCACGACCTCACAGAATACCAGCGTGAAGTAGAGGTTTACCTCTGCGTTTCGCTTGGTGAGTGCAGGTGGCCGGAGGTCCTTTTTACTGGAAATGAGGCATTCCATCCTAGTCCTCACGGGTGACAACGCATCTATATTTTGATTCGTAAACGAGGATAAATGTAGATGTCTATGGGCCACAGCAACCACTTACCATCAGGTGGACTGTGTGCTCGTTTGTCACCCTATCCTATAAAAAAAAAAATCAGCATATTTGTCTGCTGTTTTGGGTCCTACTATATTAATCCTTATGGATTAAATTGCAAAGAGCCGTGGTAGCTTAGGGGCTTAACGCTCGCTGTAAATGTCACAGTACGCAAGCAACCCAGGTTCGATGCCCGTCGGCACCAATGAAATTGTTAATTGCAATTTTAAATGCTGATTTACCACGTTCTCAAGAAATCATCGCAAGGGAACCTGCATGTCTGAGAAATAAAAAAAATCGAAGACATATGAAGTCCACTAACAAGCATGGGGGCAGCGTGGTGGACACTTCCTTGCCCTAAAACCCTCGGAAGTGAGAGACCTGTGCCCAGCAATGGGACGTATATATGCTGTAACTTAACTTTACATTGTAATACCCATAAAGATTTTGTTTTACAGATTTGGATTTATTAGATATATTCCCGCTCTTCTAACACCTGGAATTTGATTGAAATTGCATACACGAGGGTGAGAGCAGATGATGCCTCTGAACTAGCTCTAATACTTCCAGAACTGTATTACATATGTCACCCGTAGACACTTTTTGATCGAAGCAGCATACAGGAAAGTCATTATTTATAGTTGATATATTTTGGTTCCAACCGCAAGATATTGCTGGCAAATGATAACTAAATTTAGTAGAAAAGTAAAAATCAAAATATTTTATAGGTGTATGCTATATATGTACATCTAATATATAAAAATGTATTTTTGTTTGTTCGTATTTTATGCGCTGTCATACCGTTCATCAGATTGCGCTAAAACTTTGTCAAGTTATTGCTTGCACTTGCGCGAAGGTTATAGGCATAGTACAATTAACTCACAGTAGGTGGCGTGCGTAATAGCTATACTAAAGTTATACTATATCATTAAATTTCTATGAATGTATTATCATTTCTAATTAAACAATATAACTGTTCTAAATTTAAAACCATATTTCCGCATTTATTTCTTCTGCAGCTTCATCAAGATTTAAGATACATCACGACGTAATAATTATCAAAAATAATGCACTCTACTCCAATGAACCGAGCTACATCTGCTCGGTATCGTAATGACCCTTTTGTTTACCGCGTCATTTCTTCCTTCTGTACAACAATAAAAAATATTAATGTTTCGCCGAGTACAATATCAGCCAAATGTACCCGGGGGTTCCTAATCGCATTAAGATGGTCTGCGAGCGTTCACGGGTTATTATGTTTATACGTTTTTATTTGGAGGGTTGGAACGTTAACGGAAAGGATTATTGCGGGAATCTTTCTTTGCCTTTTCGTTCCTTTATAATTCATACACACCTCGTTGTGTCTTGATGCATTTTATACACGATGTAGGCAAGTTCTTATGATAAGCCTATAAATGTACGCATTTGTGTTAGTTAAATACGAAGTTGTAAAAGAATGGGCCACTTTTATACCAAGTGTCACTCTCCTGCATGCTGTGCTACATGCTAATAAACGGAATACACTTGCAACTGACAGATGGTGTAAAATCCATTCAAATATGATGCAATATCAGTGTGAGAGTATTTTCTCTGAGCTGTTTGCTGTCTGCGTAGTAACGCCCGCTGGCGCCTTTTCTAAAGACCAACGTCCAGTGGTAGCCTTACTGGGTTCTAGTTTATTTGGTTTCTAAATAAACTGTGCCAATATTTGAGAACCTTTGACGCTATCTGGTGACTGGTGGGTGATGAGATGATTATGCCTCCATCTGTCGGAAGCCATAAGTCACCCCTTACACACGAGACTAAATGGAGTGATTTTCTCTTACTTTGCATTTAGATCTAGATCTAGATCCATCCAAAACTAAAGAGTTTGCCTATATTGTCTACCAGCAAATGCTACTTTTTGAAAAAAAAAACTTCCTCTACCTATTTGGTTATTTTAATTTCGTAGTTACTATTTGTTTTCTTAGACATATGTACACATATTATATGTTTATCCTAAGACTAGGTATTTAGGGCAATTAACATTTTAAAATCCCATACAATCATAAAATTCACAATATTAAAATATTGCATATAAATGTGTAATCAGCCCATTCGTTTATCGTATACGTGTTAATAAGCCATCAAGCTGTTGATACAAAGCACTACCCATATTTATTGCTCAAAACACTGTCTTATTACATACAATCAAGTGTTACAAAACAAAAGACTGCACCCGCTAACGTAGGCAATTTAATGTAGCGAAAATTTTAACCGCCAACCGGCTATTAAATGCTGTTATTTTTCCTCTACAGCCTATAATATAAAAAAAAAACGGGAAATGCTTATTAGCTTAGAAAAAGAGGGCTCAAAAGTAACTATCTAGCTGGCCCGGCAGAAGTTGACCTCGGACTTTTATGACACATCCAGATTTTGTGATTATCTTTTTTGGCACAAAATTAACATATTATATTGTGCATATGAGTCATTTCGGTACATGAATATAGAATTTGTTTATAAATTGACTCCAGATACTCTAGCATACACGATCACCAACAGACACGCCAACGATTATACAATATGTAACAAAAACCCTGTGGTTCCCGTGAAGTACGTTATCAGGATCAGTATTCAAACGTATAGGTTGAACGTACACGTTACTAGGTTGGTAATACGTTCTTGTCTATTTCTACTTTCCCGCCAAGCAGTAGTTCACCTGCTACAATGTTCTGTTTCGAAGGATAAATGGGCCAGTACAATTACAGGCTGTGAGTCATTTCATTTTGGTTATCAGGGGTGACAAAGCATCTGTAGCATTGTTAAATTTGTGGCAGGCGTTCACTGGTATATAATATCCTCTTTACATCAGGAAGACTGTTAGGTTGTTTGTCTCTCTCTCTCTCTCTCTCTCTCTCTCTCTCTCTCTCTCTCTCTCTCTCTCTCATATTAGTTAAAAAAAACAATAAATTAATTTAAAAAATATAATATCGATAAACAATTCTCACGAAATATCTAATTCTTCTTTTTTCTTTTACAGACGCCTGCGGCCTGTCAGACGTTCCACATATAGAGAGCTTACAAGAGAAATCACAATGCGCGTTAGAAGAATACTGCAGAAGTCAATATCCAAACCAACCTACGAGGTTTGGAAAGCTACTCCTCCGACTACCTTCCTTGCGGACAGTCAGCTCACAAGTTATAGAACAATTGTTCTTTGTACGTCTGGTGGGAAAGACTCCTATCGAGACCCTTATTAGAGATATGCTGCTATCCGGGAGCTCCTTTTCGTGGCCGTATATGGCGACTATGTGACATACGATGTGGAGACAGCTAGCGGCGGCCTGATCCACGCCTTACGGCTTTCCGCCGTATCTGCCGAGCCAGCGGTTCGATCCGTTCCAGAGATACCAACGTGAGGCGCCAGAAGATGCCGTGACGTCATCCAGCGAGTTCCACGAGGCAACGGAGCCGACTTCTTCAGAAGAGTTCTACGGCAGGAGCAGAGAAAGCGAGAGATCCGACCCTTGCCCCACTTTTGATCCGATATCGGCGTTCTACGCGCCTAAAACTTCCGAACCGGACACTTTTGACGCAACTACAACGATTTCGGACTCTAAAAGTAGCCAAAAGACTTCCATGATGATTGACAACCTTTTAAATCTCAGGAGCCAAGACTCCTGTTCGTTGCCGGACATTAAATGAACTTTAAAGTTCAACCAGTGGGTCAGTAGTGTTTATTAGTTCATTTCGTTCCTTTGTAAAAATAATTAGGTTAGTAATAATATTTAATAATGTAAATAAAATGTTTTATTATTGTAAATGTACCTAATGTATAATAATTGTGATAAGGTACAAGAGCTGTTTTCTATAATATGACGATCGATTCATGCGGCGGAATGTCCGTTAAATCTGGAATTGATTTTCGTTTCTGAAAACTTTTGATACGACTCCCTGTTTAGTGGCGCTATTTTAGAATGTATTAGAAATTTATAAAAAACCTATTTGATTGGCGGAATGCAATAATACACGCCAGTCGTGCAATCTTGGTGTGTAGTTATATATATTTGTAGACACAATGGTGATTTTAGGGGGTTTTAAAAACGTTTTGTTTAAAACGTCGATGAAACTGGCTAGAAAACGAAATACTTTTAAAAAGCGTGTAGTATGTATTAATCAGGCACAGTAGAGCAATTTTTTTTTCATAAAATTGTTAAAGTGCATTAATTTGTCATTGGTGTAATGGTTATGAAAATGTCATAAACCAAGAAAAAAAGTACGTACAAAATAATTGTCGATATTTTCATCTGCGATCGCAACTCAGTGCTCATTTTGTTGTGCGTTACATAATTTAATTACAAAATAATTAATTCAAATTTCAGAAAATAAACTTTTGGATTTAATGTACCTCTTCTTAATATATCTTATAAAAAAAAAGAAACGCTAGTGATGTAAATTCATACTGGACGTGTTCCCTTTTAGTCCATAGTCAAGTCAATTTAAATGTTTTTGGACTGGTGCTCTGTAATTTTGAAAAAAATATTATTTTTTTCGTAGTATAACCTGTACAAATTATATGATTCCGTACAAGCATTTAGTCTTTTTCGATTGTTTAGATACTTTTATATTTTTTTATTGATGTAATGCTACAAAAATTAAATTGAAATATTTTAAAATAAAAATAAAATTTATTTTGTCTTTTTATGTGTGTTGTGTATTAGATTAATTTCGAGAAGAAGACATGACATATTGTTTGCAAAAGAATCTATTTATGATTTTATTGTACTATATTTGTTGGTGGTTACTAAAATAAAAATCATTCTTTGACTTTTGAAATAATAATGTTAAAAGGGTTTTTTTTCTTCATTTTAACTACTGATAGTATTCGAAATTCAAATGCAAATCATTTAAAAATGTATAATAATTTGTGTGCACCAGTACTGCAATAAGTTTTACATTGTTTCTAGTTATTGCTGCAAATCTTGCATAATCTCCAACTATAAAAAGCATATCCTATTTTTTACCCCTATATTTATTTCTACTATTGATTTTACACATAACAAGATAATATTAACTTAAGTAGATAATAATAACATAAAAATGGATTTATAAGCTTAAGCACTTTTCAGTAACCACCAAAAATATTCTCAAATATTATTGTTTTTCCAATGTAATGTCACGCAAGTGAAGTTTTCCTGCCAAATCTACAAAAACTACATGTAAAAGAAAAGCAATGTATTTATTTGCAATAATTGTACAGTGATGGGTGTAATTATAGAGTGGGTGTGTATGGGACTGAACGCAGTTGTATGATAACGCGTAAAGTTGAAGAATAAAAAAGTCTTTATGAATTAGAACAATTTTATTTCATCAATACCCCTTAAGAACATTATTACTGGCAATCAAACATCCTCATCGCTACAACGCATCTGCTTTATAATTCTTAATCGAGGATAAATGTAGGTCTAGGGGCCACTATGCGCCGTAAGAAGAGGGACGGTGTACTCATTTGTCACTTACTCTCTACATATTATAAAGCAAAATCGCTTCCCGACGTCTGTACGCTTAGATCTTTTAAATTACGCAACCGATTTTAATGAAGTTTTCATTAGTAGATAGAATAATTCAAGAGAAAAGTGTATAATATTATATTATATAATTCTTCTATCCGTGTGTATGTGACTGACTCCTCTTAAACGGCAGGACCGATTTTGATGAAATTTTGTGTGTGTGATTAAGTCAATTAGAAAATTGTTGTCGAGATCCAGAAATCAAGCCGGGCGGATCGCTAGTCTTTCATAAAAAAATTTTTAGAAAATGCTTGGTGGTGGAGTAAGAAAAATTTATTTATTTATGCGAATGATGCTGACACGACCTAATATAAGCTAGATCATCTAGAAGTATAGATTGGCGACTGGAATCAGAGGAAGAAAAAATTACGACTTCCCGACTTGGTCTGTGATAGTTGTCAATGTCAATAGATTTTCAAACATTTCAAGTAGGTAATACAAATATATCAGTACCCAAAACACGGCGGAAGCATCTTAAATATAAACGAAAACACAATGAAAATACCAATACTTAAACAATGAGATTATTGTAGGGAAAAAATTCTCTCAATTTTAAGAGGCTAATGGTGCGGCAAGGGTCCGTCGTTTTTTAATGCTCCAAGGGACATTAAACGACTTCTAAATGTTTAGACATGCAAATTTCCTCACGAAGCTATCCTTCACTTCCGAGGAAGTGGCTAGTTACATCTTAAACAAGACCTGTACGAGGCGCACTCTGCTGTGTGACCTACCAGGCTATTGACTATCGAATTATGGCAGAGAATTCTTCAAAAAATGCCTAACGATTGCTTTCGGGAGATTGTCGCCTCCACGCTCACTAACCTTCCTGCCCATGATACTGAGTATTCTATGCTATCCTCGGATTGCGAGGCATCTTTGGTAAGACCTTTATTTTCGACATTGACCTAAAAGCTAATGATCACCATAGTATGTTACCATAATGTTTGGTCATTTTGGTCATTTTGCACACACGCACTTATGCACACACGTACTTATGCACACGCGCACTTACGCACATGCACTCACGCACACACATGCACACACTAACGCACACACGCACTTACACACACACACACACACACACACTCAGGCACACACACGCACACACATGCATGCATACACACGCACGCACACACACGCACGCACACACACGCGTACGCACACACGCTCGCACGCGCGCGCGCCATACACATGAACACACACACTTGCTAAGGGTAGTATGTATGTATCATATTTGTCATCGTTTTTAAATTATACACTAAGACTTCTTATATTTACGCGAACACTACACATTGAATAAAACTATTTTTTACGGATTTTATCGCGTTTAATTTACTTATTTTATATTCCCGACGTTTCGGTTGCTTTCCAGCAACCGTGGTCACGGGGGACTGAGGTGATTGACGTCCTGATGTCAAAGTTAACCCGGAGTACCTTCAGCTTTTTAATTATTAATTTTGGTCCGATCTACGCAGAATGAACTAACTGTGTCTTGAAGTCTTACAGTGGTATGCTTGGGTTTAGTTTTAATTTTATGAATTACAGGATCCCAAGCAGGTGGTAGTACCCAGCCTCCCTCTCTATTGAAATTAGGATGTTTTTTAATTTCAATAGCCTCACGTATCATCCTTGGCAGGAATCGATGTTCTTTCGCGAGGACTTGTGGTTTATCAAATCTAATGTAATGACGGGGGCCGTCTAGGATATGATCACAAACTGCAGACTTCCCGGAACGTTGGTGCTTCACGTCAGCTATGTGTTCTTTTACGCGGGTTTTTATTGATCGTTTTGTTTGCCCTATATATGAGAGACCACACTCACAATCAAGCTTGTATACTCCTGCATCTTGTAGAGGAATATTGCACTTGACGGATGGTAAGAACTGACTAATCTTCTTCGGCGGCTTGAAGAATGTTCTAATAGAAGCTCGCTTCAAGATGTAGCCAATCTTGTCTGTGACACCTCTGACATATGGTAGTACAGCAGGCACACGCTCGACTGTGGCCGGCTTCACTCAACAATTTTAAAATACAACAACTTTTATCGGATGAAAGTACGTACGTAAAGGTCAAAACAGATCCTACAACTAATACGCTTAAAACAACTAGCGATCTAATAAAGAAATACTCCGAGAAACTGAATCTAGACGTAAATTCGATAATACCTACGTGTGCCAAACCGCCGAAGTTGTATGGGTTACCAAAAATACACAAACCGAACGCTCCATTACGTCCAATAGTGAGTCAGATCGATTCGCCAACTTACAGATTGGCTCAACACTTAGCAAAAGTACTATCACCACTCAGAGGACATACAAGAGCACACACTAAGGATTCATACCATTTTGTCAGTGAGATAAAAGACCTATGTCTTACTGACAATGAAACTATGGTCAGTTTTGATGTTCAGTCTCTATTTACATGCCTACCTGTTGAAGACTGCATCTCAATTATAACTAGGAAACTAGAGGAAAACAACATGCCAGCAGAATATGCAGTATTACTCAGACATTGCCTTACATCTGGCTACCTATTGTGGAAGGAACAGTTTTACAAGCAAGTAGATGGTGTTGCGATGGGCTCACCGGTATCTCCCATTGTCGCCGATATTTTCATGGAGGACTTTGAGGAGAAAGCCCTGCTTACTGCACCAGTAAATCCAAGTTTCTACAAGCGGTACGTAGACGATACTTTCACAATTTTACCATCAGACAAAGTAACTGCATTTTTAGAACATCTTAATTCCATAAACTCTAAAATTCAATTTACTATGGAGTTAGAGGCAAATAATTCTTTAGCTTTCCTAGATGTGTTAGTCATTCGAAATCCTAATAACACCGTAGGTCACACTGTGTATAGAAAAAAGACCCATACAAACCGATACTTAAACGGTGAATCCCACCATCACCCTTCACAGTTAGCTACCGTGGGCAAATCTTTGTTGCAGAGAGCACGAGGGATCTGTGACAGCAAACACCTGGCCGCCGAGCTTCAACACGTCAAGCAGGTTCTGCACGACAACAAGCTTCGGGTTCCGCGCCTACGTCACAGTGACCGAGTGAAGCCGGCCACAGTCGAGCGTGTGCCTGCTGTACTACCATATGTCAGAGGTGTCACAGACAAGATTGGCTACATCTTGAAGCGAGCTTCTATTAGAACATTCTTCAAGCCGCCGAAGAAGATTAGTCAGTTCTTACCATCCGTCAAGTGCAATATTCCTCTACAAGATGCAGGAGTATACAAGCTTGATTGTGAGTGTGGTCTCTCATATATAGGGCAAACAAAACGATCAATAAAAACCCGCGTAAAAGAACACATAGCTGACGTGAAGCACCAACGTTCCGGGAAGTCTGCAGTTTGTGATCATATCCTAGACGGCCCCCGTCATTACATTAGATTTGATAAACCACAAGTCCTCGCGAAAGAACATCGATTCCTGCCAAGGATGATACGTGAGGCTATTGAAATTAAAAAACATCCTAATTTCAATAGAGAGGGAGGCTGGGTACTACCACCTGCTTGGGATCCTGTAATTCATAAAATTAAAACTAAACCCAAGCATACCACTGTAAGACTTCAAGACACAGTTAGTTCATTCTGCGTAGATCGGACCAAAATTAATAATTAAAAAGCTGAAGGTACTCCGGGTTAACTTTGACATCAGGACGTCAATCACCTCAGTCCCCCGTGACCACGGTTGCTGGAAAGCAACCGAAACGTCGGGAATATAAAATAAGTAAATTAAACGCGATAAAATCCGTAAAAAATAGTTTTATTCAATATACACTAAGACTATAGAAGAATTTAAAATTGGAGAGTAGGGGGAGGGGTGATTCGAGGGATGGAATTTTTACTGCAACCCATGCAACGCCACTAATCGTTGCAGCAATTTATAATGACATTTTAAATTTAAATCGCAACCAAATTATTTTACGTTTGGATTCTAGGATATTCTAGAAGAAGCTCTAACTATGTCAACAATAGCGGTACGTCCGCACTGCAGCCCGTGGGAGCGGTAACATCGCGTGCGGCCGACAGGTGCGCTCTACACGCGAACCGAGATTGGTCCACGTGAAGCACGTGGGAACTGATTTGTCGCCACTTGTTCACCTAATATCCGCCATAATTAATTGCCACACAATCAGTTGAAATTGCACGTTTGTTTTACATTATGAGTATAAAAGCATTGTTAGTCATTAACTAATAATGGCGTTGCATTAGTGCGCCGGCGCTAACGCAACTATAATGACCGATAAAGCAATATTAGTGCTGCAGCTATATAGTTGTATCACGAATGGGTCAACCCAAATGGGAAGCTGAATACATAACAGCGTAAAATAGCAGCTTAACGCTGCTGTGTTTCGTATGGTGATTCCAGAGAAACGGAAACCAATTTTACTGGTAAAGAGGCATTCCATCTTAATCCTCACGGGTGACAACGCATATGCATTTTGATTATAATCGAAGACAGATGTAGATGTATATGAGGTACAGCATCTACCTACCATCAGGTAGACTGTGTCCTCGTTTGTGTCGACTCTACCCTGCCTACTAGAACCTATAAAAAATATATTGAAGTGCCGCAAAAACATTAGATTAAACCTAAAACAGAACCTAGATTGCAATGCAGCATGACATGCGTTACGTGAATGAACCATGTATGTGACCACGGGGAGTGGAAGGTTGTTCTGTATATGATCATTCAGTTTCTACCCTTACCGAATCTATTTGAAGGTAGCGTAGATAGCGGAGCACTACGAAGGTGGAGCAGACTCTGGTG